ACGAAGCAGTCAGTAAACCAAATTTGATAAGACAGGAGATTATTCAATACTTCTCAACACTACAAAAACATTGATAATTCGAATCAAATTCGTCAGCATATTGACTTCTTGGTGGGTATATAAATGATAGAGATATCAATTATTTTTTATGCCAATTTGAAAAATAACACACTCGCTAAGTTTTTGTATTAAATATGGGTCAAAATAATACTTTTTTACAAAACCGTGCGCACGTATGTCACCGATCTTGACGCGCTTTTGGTATGTTATAGTACATGGTAAAAAGGTCCCAAAAAAAAATTTTTAGACCCCCTCCCCCCTCCTTCCCCCACTTCCGGTATAAACGTCCATTTTCGATCTATATTTTTTCTGAGGACATGAAGCAATTAAAAAATCTGAAAAAATTCACAAAAATACTTTTCAACAATCCAAACAACCTTGAATTTTTTCAGATTTTTCAAGTGCTTCAGGCCTTCAGAAAAAATCATTGAAAATTTTGAAAATCGAGATACGGCGATATGAGCCGATATAGTAAACGGAAATTTTTTCAGTTTTTTATTGCATTGAAAAACATAACCTCAATTTTTTTCAGATTTTTTCAGATGACCTAACGCACCTTTTGAAGCCAAAAACCGCTTTTTTTGACGGAAATAATTTTTTTAGGACGGTACGGAGCCTCGAAAAATATGTAAAAATTTTTTTCTCGTTTTTTTCATCAAAATACATAACCTCAAATTTTTTCAGATTTTTTAATTGAAGGCGATAGCTTCTAGAGCCGAAAAATGCTATTTTTAACAAAAAAAGGTTCCTAGAACCCGATGGTTCCGGTGAAAAAATTTGAAAATTTTTTTTTTGAATTCCTTGTCAAATTTTTTTGACCCTTTCAAAAGTTCGATTGGAACTTCCTAGCGCAATCTAGAGCATCAAAATAGTTTCATCATTTCTTAATGTGTCTTCAGAAACGCCTTCAGAATTTTGCATTTATCTTTGTCCTGCTCTAGATTGAGCTAGGAAGCTCCAATCGAACTTTTGAAAGGGTCAAAAAAATTTGACAAGGAATTCAAAAAAAAAAATTTCAAATTTTTTCACCGGAACTATCGGGTTCTAGGAACCTTTTTTTGTTAAAAATAGCATTTTTCGGCTCTAGAAGCTATCGCCTTCAATTAAAAAATCTGAAAAAATTTGAGGTTATGTATTTTGATGAAAAAAACGAGAAAAAAATTTTTACATATTTTTCGAGGCTCCGTACCGTCCTAAAAAAATTATTTCCGTCAAAAAAAGCGGTTTTTGGCTTCAAAAGGTGCGTTAGGTCATCTGAAAAAATCTGAAAAAAATTGAGGTTATGTTTTTCAATGCAATAAAAAACTGAAAAAATTTCCGTTTACTATATCGGCTCATATCGCCGTATCTCGATTTTCAAAATTTTCAATGATTTTTTCTGAAGGCCTGAAGCAACTAGTGGTGCGTGACTAACTTTCTAAACTTACCGATAAACTGAGAGGTATCAACCAGAGACTAAATTAATGATATCTTTCACATTAAAATGAAACGGTCAAACTTTGGAATGAACATCAAGATCGTTTATAAAACACGCGTATTAGGATCTATTTAATCAATGTTTTTTTTGTGAACTCGATGTTGTCTCTAAGGAGTTTTTTTAGAAGGCAAAACAATTTCTCGTAAAAATCTATACTAAGTTAGAATATTAAATTGTTTCAAATATTGTGAAAATTATGTATAAACATATAAGTCGGTAACTTAATTGTAAACAATATGATCATAAACGATTTTGACATAGTCCGTCAACATAATAATCATGTTCATAGTGAAAATGAAATAGTTTGAATTTTAACGTTGAAGCCATAATACCAAGAGATAAATTTTATTGAATCATCGATTCAATTTCTGTGACACTAAACAGAAGGATCCATCGTATATTTTAATTATCAAAATAGATAAAAGTGAGAAGAAACCCGGAGAAGTTGTCTCGAAAAATATTTCAAGTGAACACGATATTGCTGTTTCAAAAGACGCAAAATACGTTTGGGATATTTGTCAAGAGGCATTTACACTAGAATCAAGCATGATAACACACCGAGACACAAGTCACAATCAACAAAAAGATTACGTATGTGACAAGTGCGAGAAGAAATTCGAGTTCCGAAGTCATTTGAGTAGACACCAAATATCAGAACACAGAGGCCGCAAAGATTTTGTATGCAATAGATGTCAGAAGACATTTTTGAAAAAATCGAGTTTGTTTACACACCAAAAATTAGCACACAAAGATCGAGACGATTTCTCATGCAACAAGTGCGAGAGGAAGTTTGAAAATAAATCAACTTTACTCAAACACAAGAAAATATTCCACGAAGTATTCAAAGATTACTTATGCGAAAAGTGTTCCAAGAGATTTGGAAGTAAATATATTTTGCTCAACCACATAAAGACAGTACACGAAGATCGAAGTGATGTCGTCTTCAAAGTCTACAACGATTACTTGTGTGACAATTGCGGGAAAAAATTTGGACGTAAATCGAATTTGATCACGCACCAAAATGTGATTCACGATGGTCGCAAAGATTACGCGTGTGACAAATGCGAGAGAAAATTTGGCCAGAAATCAAGTCTGCAAATCCACCAAAAGACAGTACACGAGGGTCGGAAATATTTCACATGTAACAAATGCGAAAAACAATTTGGAAAACAAAGTAATTTGATTAGACACCAAAATATAGTCCACGAAGGTCACAAAGATTATGCATGCAATAAATGCTCAAAGAAATTTGGACTAAAACAGTCTCTGCTTTTGCACCACAAGACAGTCCACGAAGGTCGCAAAGATTTTGCATGCGATGAGTGCAAAAAGAAATTTGGACAAAAACCAGATTTGTTGAAGCACCAGAGAACAGTCCACGAAGGTCGTAAAGATTTCGCGTGTAATAAATGCGAGAAAAAATTTGGGCAAAAATCGGGTGTGCGCAAACACCAAAAAACAGTCCACGAAGGTTGTAAAAATTTTGCATGTGACAAGTGCGATAAGAAATTCGGACAAAATTCAGATTTGCATAAACATCAAAGGACAGTCCACAAAGATCATCAAGATTTCGCATGCGACAAGTGCGAAAAGAAGTTTAGACATCGATCTAATTTGATTAAACATCAAAAGTTTGTCCACGAGGGTCGCAAAAACTACGCATGCGAAAAGTGCGAGAAGGTATTCGGAGACAAATCGAAATTGATTATGCACCAAAAGATAGTGCACGATGGTCGGAGAGATTACGTATGCGACAAGTGCGGGAAAAAATTCGGGCAAAAATGGAATTTATTCCAGCATCAAAAGACAGTCCACGAAGGTCGAAAAGATTACTCATGCAACAAATGCGATAGAAAATTTGGACATAAACAGCATTTGCTCATCCATCAAAGGGCAGTTCACGATAGTCATAAAGACGACGCATGCGACAGGTGAAAGAAAAACTTCGGACAAAAATCAAATTGGCTAACCCACTCATAGACAGGACACGAAAATCGTTTATATTTTTCATGCGATTATTGCGAGAAGAAATTAGGACAAAGAACTTATTTGCACTGTTATGATATAGTTTATGAACGTCGCAATGACCAAGCATGCCTCGACTTTTAGAAGAAATAATGATTTACAATTGTAAATAATATGTATGGATACGTATGCATGTGTTTTTCTAGAATTTTAATAAAAGTTTTGCCTAAACGATTGTGTGTCATCTAAAATTTAGAGGGGCAACTATAATAATATCGCGACCCTGAATCGGTCAAACACGCGTTAGTGAATAAGACTTGGAATAATTTTTTCCACAAAGCACGTGATAGGTAATAACCATATTTTCTATCTCAAAAAAGCGACGTGGAAACCATGCATTAATGTATTTTAACCAATAAATTTTTTCTCAATTTCTTAAAAAATTAGTAAAAGCATTCATAATTGTATTAAAATGACGTCACTATCTATTAGTCGATTATAATAGCGACAAATGTATATTATATCTGACGTATTCGAAGAAAGATGTTTTCCGGACCAAAAATTCAATTTCATTATTTTCATATAGTAATGTGTTTATAAAAATCATCCGAACAACTTCAGCAATGCCTAAGGGCAAAATAGTATATTATGATACGTGTGACTTAAGCAGGCCAGTATTGCACGGCACGGTTAGCACCCGAGCGAAGCGAGGGTGCTAGTGCCGTGGTAAGAATGGGCTACTTGAGTCATAAGTATCATATGCTTTTTTATAGCACTGTGCTAAATTCACGTTTAGGCCGCCTTTGGCGAGATATAAGGTGCTCATAATAGCGTCGCGGTGTGAGGTTAGCGCACGACACGTGTGCGAGATAACGTCGAGGAGATTCTTCCGCAAGAAGACGCTGGACTTTTTCAACGAGCTGACGCGCCACGAGCTGCCGATCCTCTGCTGCGAGAGGATCTTGAAGCAGTGCGGGCTCACGAATCAAGATTTGTACAACGTTTGCTTGGCGACTACGATTCAAAACATGTAATGACGTTGAACGTATTCGCTGTTTTTTTTCTGAAGTTATTTAATGTTGCCAATTTTTTATAATAATAAGCGGCTACATTTATTTGTTTACTCATAATTTTACTCAACCTTGATATTTCATTTTTTTACTGTGTGCAAAATATTGATTAATTCAGGACGACTTTTTTTTTATTTCATTATTTTTAGTCACTGGATTAACGAGCTAACGTTGTTATTTTCTTATTTTTTGATTCGCGACTTTTGGTAATTATGTATGCGTGTTCATGGGCGAGTTTATGTATTTACACGATACGATTAAACGTGTATGTTTTTTTATATAATTCTTTTTAAAGAATATATTTAATAATAAATGTTCCGTCATAACTTAATTCCTATTAATTTCATTTGTAAAAAGTTTCAGCATTATTTTCTTTCGGTCTGATAAAAATCCATTAATTGTTCATAATAAAACGAGAGGCAACAAGATTTTCCTGTTGAGCGAACAATACATTGTTTATTGTTCCATTTGTTTATTTACTTTCTCTCGTAAGTGCGTCTATATTACGGGGCGAATATAATAATAATAAAGTACGTCGAGTTTTATAAAATGAATAATCTTTCACAAGATTGAACGATCCAAGAAATACACACTTACATCGATTACATACAATCACAATTACAAAATATCAACGTCGAGGAGGTACAATTTTGTCTTCTACCCACACACGTAGTCTCTTGAATAAACCCCACTGCCTTCGTTCCTCCCTCTCTTTCGCCTCCCTCTCTCTCGCCTCGTGCTTCTCGCCGTATCTGACGATCTCCAGCACGAGCTCGTTTATTCTGCCCTGGTACTGCTCGTCGCTCCTGTAGTGCTTCAGCAGGTCCGCGTGATTGTCCGCTCGCTGCAGCCTGTTCAACTTTTCCAGCAGCTCCTGATCGTTGCCTAACGTGTCCCTGAGCAGCGCCTCGAAACCGATCGCCGTCGTGGGCACGTAGAGAGCGGCGTAGTGCAGGCCGGCCAACCGGAGCTCGTCGAATTCCTTGTGGATGGCCTCGCGACTGGGTATATCCTCTTGCGGGACGCCCCCTCGGAGCAGGCAACGCTCCAGCTCCTCATGATAGGCCTTGATTATCTGGAGCAGGCCGTACAGTCGAGTGTTCCGATCGCACCTGATGTGGACGAATTGCACGAGGTCGAGGGTGAGGGGCGCGTAGCGCACCATGTTCCAATCCCTGAACCAGGCGACGGGCTCCACAGCGGATCTGAACAGGATCTCGCTGCACCAGGTCCGTCCGTGGGCCAAGGTCATCTTCAGTCGTCCGTCGGCGTCCTGCCAGTCGCGCACCAGCCGATAACCGTCGATTATCACCCGCCTGATCCACTTGGTGCTCTGGCGCAGCTCGTCCCGAGCTATCCTCTCGATGAAGCGGATCTGGCGGTTCATGCCTCTTATCTCGGCCTCCTCGTTGCTGCGTCTACCGCGCGGCAGCAGCCACGGATGGTCCTCGTGCAGGGGCCTGCCGCCGCCTCGCGCCCGATCGGTCAGCCAAGCCGCGGCCTGAAAGCGCGCCATCGTCTTGGCGATCGCGTGGAGCTCGCTCGTCGACCACTTTTGCTTCACCGCGCGATGGAAGCCGCGTTGCTGGGGATTCTCGAAAAACATGCAGAAACCGTCGCGATCGTGCATGAGAAGCTCGGGACAGAAGCCCGGCGGCGCGATGTGGGGCCGCAGACACGGCACGACGTCCGAATAGAAGTCGAGCTCCTTGTCGTAGAACTGTCTCAGCTTCGGGCGGTCCGGCTCGGGTCGTATCACGTAGCACACGTCGAGCGCCCGAGCGCGCCGCGGGTCGTCGCTGGTCCGATAAGCGATGACGAGGCGACGACAGTCGAGCAGAGGATTGCAGCTCTCCTTGGCGTGCGACTGCACGAGTATTTGGATGGCGAGCTCTTCGTGGTCCTCGTTCGAGCCTTTCAGTTCATTTCTCACCACGAGCTCGAGTGCATCGTCCGAGAACACGGAGTCTTGAAACATGGTTTCTGTGTGTGTGTGTCGGCGAGAGGTACGGGTATATACACAATTTTTTTTCGATTCAGACACCGACCGATACGGGATTTCAGACCGCACTGGATTAATTTCCAAGTATCTGCGCTCGCGACAATACGCACGCTTCTTATTTTGTAAACATCAACTAATTCGTGTAACGATGTATTCACACGCGGACGCGAGACCGATCGCTATATTATAATAATCTCCCAACGTACAAGGATTGTAGCGAACATTTCTTCCTGCATAAATAAATAAGATTAATAATTACGGGTCAGCTGTACTACGTCGTTCAAGTCTAAAGATTCATAATTCGACGGTCTCTTTTGGTCAGATTTTTTCTTTTTCGTAAAGATAGAACGATGTCTGAAATGCCCTTTTCAATATTGCGTAAGTATCAGTCGATTTCATGTAGGGTAGTTGTTAAAAATCTGCAGCTGTAATTGTCACGAGTTGCTCGGTCCAACTGACGTCACCACAGCATACTTAGTGTCAGATATCTTTCTTTGTGGGTTATGCGTGTCTCTCTTTCTCTCAATCGCTTAGAGTTGCTGGCGTTGTGCGTATTACTGCGAATTCTTGCGCCTCGCGTGTCAGTTGTTCGGGTCGAACACTGACCACGCCACTCGTCAGTCGAGTCGCCACTCGCATTTCTTTAGTACACGTTACGACGCCGCCGTGTAAACATCTACTAACGATTCTCGCGGAAAAGAGAACAAATACTTTGAAGCGAGTGCGTGTATAGCAATGGCCCCTAAAAACCAAAACTGTGTGAAAAAATTGAAGACCATTCGTGAGAAGATAAACTGGGATTGTTTTGAAGAGCAATATGATCTTCACCGTGAATTTAATCGCTTGCCCAAAAATTGGCGGGGCCAACTGCAAGAAATTTTCACGAAAAAAGAAATCGATTATCTTCTGTTGAGTTGCGTAAAAAACACGGGCGTTGGAAATCGATTTATTAAGTTCGTGGCTGACAGCGGATATAAGGACGAACCCGATGTAGACGAAGACGGCGAGCCGCTGTTGCATCGCACGACACCGATTCATCACGCGGCTAGAACCAATTCGAGATTCATTGATCCTTATCTTTTTAAAATTGATAACAGGTTCGAAGTGACTTACATCGACGAGACTGGATTCACGCATTTTCACGCGGCCTGCTGGTTTGGCTGCGACGAAGTTGTCCAGAAATTTCTGGAGCTTGGACGAGATCCTAATTTCCTCGACCGGAAAGATTTTTATTCGTCTCTGCATTTCGCTCTTCTGAGCAAACGCGACAAGAACGTGGTCGAATTGCTGCTGAGAGGAGGTTCCGATCCAAATTCTATTAACAAAAACGGATTCACACCTCTGCATACTATTTGCAAAAGCGGATACGACGATGACTTGATAAAATTTTTCTTCGAGGTCAACGACGACATCCAGAAGACGGTACTAGTCGACGCGCGAGACAATTTGGTCCGAACACCGCTTCAGTGGGCCGTGGCGAATCTCATGCCGGATGCGGTCGATGTACTCTTGGATCGTGGCGCTGATCTATCCAACTTCGTTTTTCCCACTGAGAGTTACTTTGCCGAGAGAGTTACACCGTATTATGATGGACATCTGTCAACTCATACAAAATTAAATCTAGCGTCCGGTGCTCTGGCAGCCGTCGAACGCCTAGAAAACAGAGGCTACGAGCTGGACCAAAGTGGCGCCCTAATAATTATGACATTTTTCAGCAATCTCAGATTGTTCGAGGTGTCGGCGCATTTTGAAAAATGTTTGCCCAACGACGAAGACTTTGAGATCAAAGCGAAAGCGGCAATGATAAGTCCGACTCTGTCTCTGTACGATTTCATTCGCCTGCTGCCTGAAAAGGCGTCGAAACGACTCACGTACACGGATTGCTGCGAGTTCGCGCGCGGATCGCCACATAATTATTTAATCCGCGAGATTTATTCTGACTGTATGGTGAAGATGTGTAAAATAATGTTGAGAAGATTTATGCAGCCATGGTCACTGGAATCTTTCATCGAGCTAACATGTCATCTGCTACCGGTTCTCTGCTGTGAAAAAATTATCGAGATGCTCATGGATCAAGATTTATATCATATTGTCTTGGCGGCTGTAGAACAAAGCTCGTAATTTTTATCGAAGCATATTACCGTGTTGTTTTGTAGGAGTTATTAGAATGTTGCAACTTTTTCATGTGATTTCAATCAATAAATTAAAAATCATTACGTAGCTGTATGAGAACAAAAGTTAAAACCAAAAAAGAAATTGACTTCTTATGGTAGTTTACAACTTCTTATGATATGATTCACTAGTACCTTTGGGCACTTAACTTGAAATTTCAAGGTCGATTCCTTTTTTGGTTTAACTTTGTACCCTTTTTTTAATTTTCATGCCTTACAAATGAATTCATCAATTTACTCTGACTTGAATTTAAAAAAATTCATTTTTATCGTCATCGCAGCAATAAAAATTCTGCTTAAATCTTGATCCTTTCCTTTTTTTCTTCCCGCCTCACACGCGTCCAAAAGAGCCTTGTGCCTCGAAATTTGCGTTTAAAGAGCTGCAGCCAACACGCAGAGAGTCGGATACATTATAATACTTTTCTTCTTCTCTTTTATGCATCTCGACGTCGGTCGAGCTCGACACGACTCAAGCTATTATACCAGCCAGTATAAGCTATACCAGCCAGCAGCGCTCGCACTAAGGAGCTGCGCGAGAAAAAAGCTTTTTCGTCGTCCAAGCGCGAGGCGCGCATAAAGCAGCAGCAGCCGCCGCGTGTTTCTCGCGTCGTGTACAGTATATGCACAGAGAGCTCCGGCAGACCCCTTTTTAACTTTTAATAACGAAAAGCTCTCGTGTGCGCGTGTGTATGCGTGCGCGACATTTTCACTTTGCCGTCGGTCGTCGAGCTGTCGAGGCATCGCTCGAATACCTCGTGTGTGACTCTCGCCGGGGCTCTTTGTGCGGCAATATCGCGCGTCGAGCGTAAAATAAAATCCGTTATTCAGTGGGGGAAAAAAAAATTATAATTATAATCTTGAAAAGAAAAATTTGAATTTCGTACACTTGGTTCGAATCCTTTCAATTTTGGCGCTTATCCCAGATTTCGCGATACAACCAAGCCCACGTATATGCATTCTTTAACCCGCGACCCCCCGCCCGCCTTTTGCAGCGAAGAAGTCGCAATTTTTCACTCTTTTGTATATAAAGTATAGTGGTACAGCACACATGGCTCGCGTGCCGAGAATACGCTTCTTATTCCGCGCGCGATTCTCGAAATTTTTCCTGTTCTCTCGCCCCAAAGCCAAGATAGTAGTAGTAGTAGCGGTATGACATTTCGTGCATCGGCGTATACACAAAGGCGTGGACACAGCAGTAGCAATCCGTTTCCGTATCATATCGGAGGCCCGGTTTTTTTTTGCTTCCATCTGCATTGTCGCGAACGATACGCGTTTCTCATCCTATCCTTTCTTCATTCTCTTCTTTTTCGTATCGAGCTGAGCCAAGCTTTTTTTTTCATCTTAACCCTGTAAGTTTGCTTTCTCATACATGTATGGATAAGTGTTTGTGCACACACGCGTGTGTAAACTAGCCAAGGATGCAACAATCTTCTCTCTCTAAATGCGCTACGAAGCGGGTGATGTTTAGCGAATGAGCAAAAAGAGTATAACAACTGAGTTTATAGGGGAAAAAACAGCAACGACAAGAAATAACTTTGAATTCGATTACTCGGCACTGGCATTTCTTTCGTTCCTGCGTGCTACACTATATACACACATTAGCATTATATAAAAAAAATGCCTCCACACATACGGGCAAACGGTGAACAGCTTTAAGCTGCAGACGGCACGCGAGCTTTTGCTTTCTCCGCGCGCTAATAGGCCAGTGATTTTCTCCTCTTTGAATGCCATGTTATTTTTTTGCTCTCTCTCTATATACACTCCTGCGCGCGCGTGTGTAGCATAATAATAAAAAGGTCAATCGTTTTTCCCTTCGAGTAGTGTGCACAGTCTACAGTGCTTATTATCGCAGGCGGAGAGAGGGAGGGAATTTTTAGTGTGCATACCATGTGGCACGCATGCACACGATCCTGACCTTGCCTTGAGGAATAGTACAGTGTATTATATTTATAAAAAAAAAGGTTTCGGTGAGTACAGGACGACGCGATCGACGACGACGACGACTAGACGGAGTCGTTGCGTTATCTTGGCGAGTTTTTTTTTTTTTTTTTTGTTTTTCGTGCGTCGTCATGGACGATAAAATGCATGCAGACAGTCGTAGGTTTGATATACACGTGACGCAAAGGGATCTCAAGGATCTAAAAGTATAAAGTTGTACATATATAACGTAGCTCTTTACTAAGTGCACATGCACATCTTGCGTACGTACACATATGTAATAGTCGGCCGGGGATTGCGAAGGAGGTAGGCTAGCCGCAATGGCGCTGAGTCAGAGCAGAGTACAAAGAGAGAGTGAGAGAGATAGTGGATAAAGAGCAGCTGAAGCGCAACTCGTCCGCAGAGTGGAGCACGACGCGTGTGCTACTACTGCTCGTATGTCCTTTGAGGATACACATAGCAGCAACCGCAGTAGCAATCTTATGATATGTAGTCGTGCAGGACAGACATTTTCAAAAGAACGCAGGATTTATATACACGAAAAACTGTACAGGATCGCGTTTTCGGGAGTTCAATGACAATAGCGTTCGATTTACAATGATGAAACTGTTACTTCGATGACACGATCGAGTCGTCATTTTTTCAAGAGTATAAGAGTATTCAACAGCATATCCGATGTCTGGTTGAACCTTATTTCTGATAATGCGTGTGTGGATGTTTCTCGCGTATGCCTCAGCTACTTGAGAACTTGAACGAATCAAATTTTTATGGCAATTTCGATGTTGTTTTCGATGACTCTTGAGCGTCTTTATTTTGTATCGTCGTGCATAACTGCGTGCAGTGGAGGGGGAAATATCGCCAAAGAGCTATCACAGATCTTCTCGCCAATATATACGAGCAGTGCGTTCGAGTTCGGTCTCTAGCGAAGAGCTAAATTCCCGTATAGTAAGCAAGTGTGTTTACGAATTGGTGCGAATTCGAGATTTAGCGTAGTATAACCTCAAAT